CTTTCCCTCTACTTCTCAATCATCCTCGATCAGCACCCGTAACCCGCTTCCGCGTCGAATGTGTTGAAGACGGTTTAGTTGACAGGATAAACGTCAGGATGTGTCTTCGTCGCGTGACTGTGCGCGGCGTCGCGAAGATGATATGAAAAGCAAGGACGATCCAGGTATGAGGTAGCGAGCAACTGAAGCATGAAGCTATAAGTAGAAGCGATCGAGTAGAAGCGGGGGTATAAGGAAACGGGGAAATAGAGACGTGTATATATAAGAGGGAAACGCGGTGTGAGAATACGGCGTATGAAGCAGAAGCGGATTAAGGTATGAAGGAATCGCGATTTACCAAGAGGAAAGCAATCGTACCGAAAAGCGATCGCTCTTCTTCTGTGTGAACGAGACACTCGCGTCGGTCCTTACCATCGCGTTTGTCTGGGATTCAGAACGCGCGGATGGAATGTTTGTTGCTCGGGATGGAGAAGCTCGCCGGCGGTGGAACATCGTTCGATTAATCGATTAACGGTGATAACAATTTGAGTTTAGCCACTCGCTCGGCCTGGAAACGCGAAGCAACAAGAGATGAAACGCTTGCACTCTGGTAATACGGTAAATCGATCAAGATTCCTACGCGCATCGTTTCCCGTGGGTATGACGGACCTCGCGAAATATCGAGTTAATCCCCTTCGAGTCACTAAATAAAAACTGATGAAGCTGAACGTACTACAAGTGTTAATTATTTCGAACAAATAGCGATAATTTGATGTTCTTTTTCGCAAAAAAAGTAAATAATTAAATTGACTAAATTACATTGAATGATATCACATAGCGCTTCTCTAAGTGTGAGATATTTTATTAAAATTTGTATAATTAATTTTCAAAATGCAAGACTCATACAAAATGAGTCATACAGTATAATGCTAAGTATAATTGTCATTGTTTTCAACAATTCCTGTTAAAATTAATAAATAATAATAAAGTTTTGTAAAATTATATTCTCGTAAAAACTCAAATTTCGATTTAATTGTCCGATTACTAAACACACTGGTTCAAAAAACGAACTAAAATGTAATAAAAAATCCAGTTATTTTTTAAATAACACTGACATTTCTCTAAATGCTGAGTGATTTGTATGTAGAAATAGGTTGACAAATTTAAAAAATGTCATAGTATAGTATCGAATTTTTCTTTGTCAGTTTTAAAGCGTTTCACTTAAAAAATTTAAACGATTCATCTGGGATAAAAAAAACGTCAAATAATGACTATGTAATTAAAAGGAGCTAGATTTTATCGATACGCGCGCGCGCAAGAATTGTCTTTAACTCAGATTAGTTCAATTCTCTTTCTTTATTTACATCGTATATATAATTATAATATATAATATAGAATATTATTTATTTAATCTAAAAAAAGAATAAGTTTATTATTAATTCCGATTTTATCATCGGATTTAATGATAAATTAATTTCTTTTTCTAAGTGAATTTCGTAACGAACCTATCTTGTGTAATCTGATAGACTATTTTTTAGTTATATTCGTATTTCTTGAATTTATTTCTGACGAGAACAGTGAAAATTCAACAGTGAACACAAACTTCTGGCGTTTTGGGAGAAAGTCCGTTTGTATCGGTCGATAGGCGACTAAAGCAGGATGAAGTGGCTACGTGCGAAGCACGATCGATGGGCGCGAAGGCTTGAGATATTTCAGCAGCGAGTTTCGATGCGCGATAAAAGTATCTATCTCGAAGACACATCGGCGAAGTCGAGACAAGAAAGAGAGGAAAAAGAGAGAGAGAGAGGGAGATAGAGAAAAAGAGAATAAGCCGCGCGGCTGATGCGGCGACGACGAAGAGTGGCTACCCTTTGAAATTCACGAGCGTGCGGAGAGCACGTACTCTCTCGCTCTCTCTTTCTTTCTTTCTCTCTCTCCCCTCCCCCCTTTCTCTCGCTCTCGCTAGCTAGAGTCTTCTTTTCTTTTTTTTTTCTTCGCGTGGACGGACGTGTAGAGATCCGATCGATCGATCGAAGCGAGCCGCGCACTCGAGTTTTCCCTGACCTAAGAATACACCGCTCGAGTACCGTGGAGGAACCCGGGGTGAAGTGGATTCCACAGAATGGACCAGAGTGGGGATCGAGCGAAGAGAGAACCCCGCCCCCATTTAAGCGACGCCGGACAACGATGACTGCGGATTTTGTCTCTTCTTTCTTACTCATATATTTGCTCGAACTTGCGCCACACTCGATACTTTCTTTGTTGCACGCATTCCGCGAACATACCGTGAAAATACCGCGAACGGCAGGAGAGACAGAGAAAGAGCTTTTCCCCTTGCTCAAGACAAAACGGACTGATCCGGTTACGGACTTGTTGTAATGGCATGCCGATACGCGAGAATTCACACGAACGTGAGAGTCACCCGCGAGCGTTATCGTGCCACACGATAATCTTCTCGTGCGGAACGAGCGTCAGAGATGCAAATTCAACGTCGATGTTCGTCGGCGTCAGAGTCGTCGCGTTGCGTGACGTCGAACGATTAGATTAGAACCGACGACGGCGGTTCGCGGATTTTCTTTCTTTTTTGTTCTTTTTTGTTCTTTTTGGAGGGGCGGTACGGTTGACGGATCAATTACGTTATCGTAGATCGTCAAGTTTCTCTCCCTCGAAAGTTACCGGGGCTCATCGGAGTCTCTCGTGGATGGTTCAGGCTGTTGAAGTTACCCGAGAGGGCAAAAGTCGCGACCTCCGCGGGCCTCGGAGGGGCACGTGAGAGGGTGCGCGACACGCGAGCACTTTCGTGCCCAGCCCGTGAATCAACTGGTTCTCCTTCTCTCTGTGTCGCAGAAACGAGCCGAATGATGTTCAATTGACGAAGACCGCACAGCGCTAGGAATGGCCCCCTTCAGTTCCGTCTTCCTGGGTGTCTGGGGAGTGTTTGTTGTCATTTTGATAAAAGGTTTGTATGTCCAATTGTTATGCGTTCCTTGATATTTTTTAATACGTGGTCCTGTATTTGCTTTTACCATCTCGTAGACATTATTTTTAACATGTGCTTTAAAAATATCTTTTTTTATTTTAAATAATATTATGTAAATTGGAACAGACATATATAATCAATATATAATAAAACGTTAGCTTAATTTAGTTCACAATGTATTTTAATCCTGATATATTTATCAAAGTTTTACGCTACTGTTATTAAATTTTTTGTATAAGAAATTGGAGTATTAAAAGCTTTTTACTCCATGGACGTTGGATCATCCAATCATAATTCAGTGGATAGATAATATTGTGCTATTAGAAGCTATTATGACGTAAATAACACATTTACTTAATGCGATTCAATCAACACAAAGAGTCTTTTGTCCATTCTCGACGCCAAATAATGCATTTATCCAATTCTCATAAATTTATACTGAATTATCGGATTTCTCATAGAGATTATATCACTTGTTAATAATAAAATATTTGCAGAGTCGACACCCGTTAGCTGGGAAGAATGGTGGACATACGACGGTATTTCTGGTAAGCCAGATCGGTTTTCAAATTAGTATCGTTATCGATAATATCTTTGTCTCTTGTTATCTAACATATGATCTAAAAAATTCCCTCGATTATTCAAAGGTCCTGCCTTCTGGGGTCTTATCAATCCGGAATGGTGGCTGTGTAACAAAGGTCGAAGACAATCACCAGTCAATCTCGATCCTAATCAACTGCTTTTCGACCCGAATTTACAACCGCTTCATTTGGATAAGCACAGAATCAACGGTATATTGGCGAACACCGGCCATAGTGTTGTGTTCGCCGTGGAGAACGACACCCGCCATCCCGTCAACATCTCCGGTGGTCCGCTCAGTTATCGTTATCAATTTCACGAGATTCATTTGCACTTCGGCGCGGACGATCGCATCGGCAGCGAGCACACCGTCGATGGACATGCATTTCCTGCCGAGGTACGAAACGACAGAGAGACAAATAAAAATATTTCAAAATCTCCGACATTCCTCGCGATCTTTTCCGTTTCAACATCAAAGCTTGTTTGTGGAAGAATTCAATCGAAATTAAATTCTCGTTGATGCACTTAAGTTAAAAAAAAAGAAAAAAAGTTCTTTAATCTTAAGTCTCTAAATACGTTCAAAGCCTTTTGTTCTCGTAGCTTCAGATATTCGGCTTCAACTCGCAGCTCTATAACAACTTCTCGGACGCCCTACACAGGGCGCAGGGGATCGTGGCGGTATCGCTTCTTTTACAGGTACATGCCCAATCTCTCCTACAAATGCTTATCACATGTTAAGTAAAGCTCAGAATAAGCGACGTCATAGACGATCTCGGTCCTTTTCTAGGTAGGCGACCTCTCGAACCCAGAGCTGAGAACGTTCACGCAGCAGCTGGATAAAATCAAATACGGAGGTGAGAAATCCGATAACGTAACGAATTCCGGGATAACAGTACGACGCGGAGGAGTAGCGATCAATTCAGCAAAAACGATAATCTAGTTTTAGCAGACGAATTTTAGCTGCATGAGTTTAAAAATTCTCAGAGTTCTCGTATCAGTCAAGATTAGCATATCGAACGAATTAATACAGGATTACATTTCTTTCAACGAACGGATATTTATAAAATACCATTTTTTTGCAGTAATGAATGTTGTTTCATTCAAATAACATTTTAACGATACATTTTAATAATACATTAAGAATTTTCTTCCACAAATTGATAATTAGTAAAAATTGAATATATATATATATATATATACGTATATTTTTTATTTCTTCTTTTTTCTCTATAAATTAACGTTTTGAGATAAAAGTACAATTCGAATGAAAAAGTTGCAAGATTGATGTACCTTCGAAAGTTTGATGGCAGCATGCGTTATAACTTTTTAAAAACTTTGCACGGGCTATTGTCAACTTTTTACCAGGAAGATAAATCGATAATTACCATCATTCTTTAAGGGAACGCTAGTGTTCTTTGACGTATGCAAATATAATCGAGCGGTGTATGCACGATAACTTTAGCGATACGTAACAATATGCGTATCAGCTGTGTGTACCGTGGCATCGGGCAGCAATCGGGCAGTAACACGCGTACATTGCACGTGTATGCATACGTATACACAAACAAAGTTGACGTTATCGATCGTATGAATTGCACAGGGCAGGCCATGGAAATTAAACGTTTCGGGGTGCGCGAACTTCTGCCGGACACGAAGCATTACATGACGTACGACGGCTCCACCACGATGCCGGCGTGTCACGAGACCACCACATGGATCATCCTCAACAAGCCTATATACATCACCAAGCAGCAGGCAAGTATCGCCGCTGCCGACTCTTATAAAATGCATGCACACGCCCCCGCACTCGAGCGTTCGCGCGCGCGACGCGAAGTACGGCAATCCCACTCAATTATGCAATTCCGATCATTAAGAGAGACAGAGTCTTTGAAACATCGAGGAACGTCGGCCGTGCTTTGCGAATAGCTAAAGTAAGTTGCAAAATAAGGGTGGAAATGAGGCACTTACTAAGCTCGTATCTCGAAATAATATAATCATAAATCACGCTTGACGGATTTTACAGGAATCTCTAAAAAAAAACACTCACATTTAATCGTTTGTTCTTTCAAGCGTAAAATTGAACAAGAGACGTTTTGATTTCAAGAATGAACAAATTCTCTATAGCGTAAAAAGTATTTAAGATCTTGTTCTTCACGATAATTTTATTGTAGCGCACGAAATATGTATATTGGCGAATACGTAATTAGCTCAGTGAGTTGCTGTTTAGTTTTTCTCAAGTTAATACAGCAGCTGACTTTATTAATAGAATGGAGTTTCATTGAGAGACCTTATAAAAATAGCTGTAGTAAACCGACAAATGTTTGTTTCTGATGTATAACTTAAGCAACCTCATACTCATATAATAATATTTGTGATAATCGATCACGTATTTAAATTAGCTATTCATCAGAATTGCAAATTCTGTTATTATTGATATCGATCGCATTCAGCGAGGCAATAAAATCACTTATGCCTCATACCATGTTATTCAATAATGAATGTTGATTCAGATTAGAGATGATTTTTATTTTTTATTTTTTGAGCATAATGTTTATGTAATATTCAAGCTCACTCATGATTTTAAATACAAAAAATACATCGATAAATACAATCTCTTTATACGAACGAATTATATCTAATTCATATAAAAATATATTTTTCTGTAAAACTTAAATAACTTAATAGTATCTGTTACTTACCTCAAATACTCTATAAAAGAAGAACAACATCCAAAATATTAAACTCTAAATTATTTATATTATGCTTTACAATTCTTATTTTTATAATTATTGCAGCTACACGCTCTGAGGCAGTTAATGCAAGGAGACGAAAAACAGCCAAACGCACCGCTTGCGAATAACTTTAGACCACCGCAACCCCTTCATCATCGTCCCGTTCGGACAAACATTGATTTCAATGTTCAGGTATACTGTAATAGCGCAACATGTATCTTTTCTATTACAAAAATAATTGCACTAATTCTTATATCATGTGTTCAGGGTCCGAAGAATTGTCCGACGATGAACAAGGATATATATTACAAAGGTATTAAGCAAAATCGATCAGACTCTTATATAGACTAATAAAACAAAATTAATATGTACATTTCTGTCGTCATAAAATTTACAAAATTACATACAATTTTTTTTAATCTCTGGAGGATCGGGGGGAAGCCCCTTAGAGACTCGACAATGGCGCCACCTTTTACGCCACTCAACCCCATAATATTGACAAAAAAGTTCTAGCCCTAAAATAAAAAAGTCGATCAAAAACATACCGGTCCTCAGAAGGTTTAAAAGGAATTTTTTGGGTTATTATTAGAATCTCTTTGCCTAAGAGCTGCCACAGCTTATAAAAAAGCATATTTTTTTCTTTGATAAAAATCATTCTATTGTATACCCTTTCAGCCAATAGCTGGAAATAATACCCAGCACTGCCGTGAGGTCAACATTCGCAGTAACTACGCTTCTCCCCGGAACGAGCTGGAACTTCGCTGTAAGGAAAAAAATTGACATATCAATTACAGGCGGGTGACGCCGGGTCACAAAAAAAATTACGGCAGATAGAACGCGCGAAGAAGACGACCGTCGACGCCCACGTTGAGGTCGAGATAAAAAAAATGCTTCGTTGTACTTATTAGACGTGAATTGCCAAGTATGTTTCCAGTTAAATCAGAAGAAGAAAAACCAAATATACCTATAGATCACAAGTTAGACGAGATAAGCTAATCGTAAGATCTATTATTATATATATATCGGTAAACTATCGAAAAAAGCTATGACTATCGTGGCCTGCGCGAGGGGTTGAGAGATGCAATTATATGTATAAAAATTCACGCGCAACGGAGAGCGCTATCGCGAGCAAAAGTTTATACTATATTCTTGTAATAAAAGCTTGAAAAAACGCATAAAATGAGACATTTCCCGTTTTGCTCGATTTTTCCTCTACCCATCAATTAGCCGCTCTTGTCCTATATAAAGAAACCAATTCTTATCCTCGCAAAATCCTTCTAAACAATTTGTTGATAATATAATATATCTTTATTATTTTTAATAAATGTTTGAAAGTACGATTGAATTTCTTCATCATCTTCGCTAATTGGAAACTATTTCCCATTTTGCTATTATTGATTTTCTTTCATAGATTTTCTTATCTAAATAATAGCTGTCTATGCTTTGATATTAGTAACTTTGAAGTACTTTGCTGTCCACAAAGTAGTGATGCCACTCATAGATCAGAAGTTAAAGTTTGCAGAGACCTGAACTGAATATCGCAAGTGTACTTAGTCGATAACGCAGAATTCGCGAGCAGAACCCAGTTTTAATCCTAACTCAACGTTCAAACGACAACCTTAACGTCGCGGCTATCCAGAGGGAAAATCGATTTCTCTTCGAAGTAGCTGCGCCTGCACCAGTCAGACCATTATCAGCTTTCAATGGATTCCGCGCTGTCGCGCCTCTATCGCTTCATGTCCTTATTGTGACTGATTCCGAGGTACGTGAACTACGTGAAACAATCTTTTCGGAATCCTTGCTTCGCGAGAGATTCAGATCCACCAAAGAAAAGTCTCAAAGAATGTTGCAAATGGAAAGGGGATTGAATGTAGGAAGGGGAGGATATTACTATCATTGAACCGCTACCCAGAATTCGACGGTGCTGCCCGCAAACGGCTATGCGACTAGGAAACCGGAAAGGGTGAACGGCACATAGCGGGAGGTGTACTGAAAAAGCGAGAGGAACAAAGAGAGAGAGAGAGAGAGAGAGATAAAGAGGGAGGGAAACGCAAAGTGGGAAGATTCGTGCGAGAGAAAGGTGAACGCGAGGGTGGAGGGCAGAGGACGCAGAAGAGAGGGCGCCGCGTGCGCGAGAGAGGGACGGGTACGCGGATACAGATCCGTCGTGTCGGTGGCCGCTGCGGCAAATCTGCGGCTCTCCGCGGCCGTTCGTCGAAAGACGGAGAGTGACGTGATATCAGGGCACCCGGCCTGGATTTGGGTGCCGACGCGCTGTTCGCAATCCTTCAATCGGTCGCCTGGAGCAAACTTAAGACCGTATCCTCCGAAGGAGACCGAGAGATGATGGGCTCCGATGATGGAACGATCTCCATGCGATCTCTGTCACATCCCTCGCGCAATCCAGCAGAAATCGAATTTGATCAAAGCGACTTGTACGGATGCCCGTTGTCGCCGAGGCTCCGCCGGTACAGAGATTAATTGATCGGCGAAGAGAGGAAAGCGTTGGAGGACATCGATGTCAGTCGACGACCTCATGGCGCAGGTGGGGGGTGTTCTCTCGTGAGAGCGAACACGGGAGAAGTTTACGGCGGAGAGTACGCGTGATGAGAAAAAACGTCGGCTAGTGCGTGTAGCGACGTCGGGACGCATCGCCATTTGTTTCGGAGGAAGAAAGAAACGGTAGAACGTTTTCCGCGTTCACTCTTTCGTCCCTCGCGGGAATTCCGACGCTGAGAACAGTCGTGTCCGCAAAGGTCGTTTGTCCCGATTCTGATCTCTCGGTACGCAACCGTGGCGGTGTAGTAGACAACAAAGTTTGCGTGAAATCGCTGGACCGCAGAACGGTAAGTTGCAGAGAGAACGACTGCGCGACATAGAGTCGATGAAATTCCGAGGGTGTGAAACACAGTGTACGTTCATCTTTAAGGTCGGTGGGAGGCTGTAAGCGGTCCCGTGATTGGTTAAACGCGTCCGCGGGAATCTTTTTCGCCCTGTTACATGCGCTAATTCGAGTTCACGAGGCGAGTTTACGTGTTTGAGGTAAACTGATGAAGGTCTGCGGTTGATGGCCGACCGACATCGCGTTCGTCAGGTCAGCCAAAGATCGGCCAACGCGGCGGGGGAAAGGGAGAGAAGCGAAGGGAGGTCAAAGGGGATCCCAGTTGATCGGCGAAGTTCAGTACCGCGACTGACGTCGCTAATTCGTGTGACTAGGTACTTTGACGACGTTTACGGGCTAGATGGACTCTAGTAAACTGAAACTTATACCCCTACTGCCCGCCGCCAATTCGACGAGAAACTTTCGCCCAACTCAATTACTCTGCAACCGTGTCATATTCCGCGCCTGCGAAAGCCAGCGGAAAGGTGACACCGACCTACTCTTCGCCGCAGAGCAACAACTCGGCAGACTCGTGTTCCATGAAAGAGCGAATCGTGGTACTACGAACGCTTCTTCACGATTAATTTATGATAAGTGTAGTAAACCGCCTGGTGTGGATTACGACGCGCGCCGATGGAATGGGACGGGGTGAGGGGGGGATTAGTAGCACCGTTAGCGGATTCAGCAATTAATATGGCGAGACAGGCATATTCCATCGTTGATTAATATGCTGACCGTGTAGACGAGCACCGAGGCGGGATTTAAAATTTATATCGCTCGCATAATCGATAGTTTGTCACGCGCGCTCTCTTTCTGATTTCGATTCTATACTTATGTGAGCTGCATATTAAATAAACAGCATCGTGCGATCGTCGCAAGCTCGAACGGGGAACTTATTCTGGTACCTCACACGCGAGTAAGTGTATTCCACCTCGACGTTAGTGATAACGTTAAAAATATAATTTATATGAGACTCGTATAATCTTCTTCCAGATTATAAGTCGCAGCAGTTATAAAGGAGAGTGGTTGGCTGGCTTACGATCCGCGCGCGCTTATGGCGCTCACTTAATCAGGATGAGCTCTGAGAACTCGCTGACAATGCTGCTGGTGCGACAGAACCCGGAGAACTGGTCTGCGAAATGAATACTTCTGAGAGAAACAATGGAAGCGTCCACGCGAGCATGACGGCCTCATTCGGTGTCGTGGACGGCACGCATAGACGGCCAGAAATGAGACTCTTGAGTAAGACTGAGAAACTTCTCCCCCGTAATTCTGTTTCCTCCCCTTTGTTCTACTCGCGCAATGCTGCCCGACGTTTCCACGCATTCCGTTATGTCATCTGTTTTAAATAGCCATGAACTTTCACGCGCGTGTATAAAGATATAACTTCTGTATATATATATATATATATATATGAAATTCGTTTATCATAGATGCTAGAAATCGAGGATCATGATGAACGATCGTTTCGTATTAGCTCTTTTCCACAGCTCGAGATAATTCTCCTCTAATCTGTCACGAGCTATCTGTTATTTCAGCAATGTAATATTTCTTCTTTTATACGCGACATCTTTTGTAGGCCGCCGTTCTATTCTTCTGCCTATATTAAATTCCTGTTTTCTGATAGTAATAGCAGTTCGCGCTCGCTTCCTTCGCGTTCGGAACTCTAACGGTGTCTGACGACGATAAATTTAACGCGACGCGAGAACGAACCTTTGATGCCGACGCCGCGACAACCGCAAAGTATTGAGTACACAAACAATCGATTACGCTGATGCGAGGCCTTTGTTTCATAGGTCGTCAGTGAAACGGAGAACTGTTGTCGTTACTGTGTTGCGGTGGAGCCAGCTGCCTGTTCTCGCCTCGAGGCGAGAAGAGGATCAGACGGGATCAGTAGACATCGGATAGACACCGATAAAGGACCGGTGTTATGTTAGTGACAAGGCCTCACCCTCTAGGAGGGCGTATACTGCTCGCCCTCTTCCTTTTAACGGGGTGTTTCGCTTTGCTGTCACGGGCGGCCGCTTTCCCGGACTGGACCGATTGTCCCGCGGTTTGCCGATGCAAGTGGACCTCCGGTAAGAAGTCCGCTTTGTGTCCGGATGCCGGCCTAACGTCGCTGCCGGCGTCTCTCGATCCGGACATGCAGGTGCTCGACTTATCCGGCAACAAGATACCTGCTCTAAAAGAGGAAATATTCAAACTGGCCGGCCTGGTGAATCTGCAACGGGTCTTTCTGCGTAATGCCGGTATCTACAGTATCCATGCGGATTCTTTCAAAGATATGAGGATACTCATCGAGATCGATCTGTCGGACAATCACGTGACGGCCTTGGAGCCGAATACATTTCTCGGAAACGAGCGCCTGCGCATTTTGATACTTAGCGGAAATCCGCTCGGTACTTTGCGTAATCTGCAATTTCCTGTACTACAGCATCTGAGAAATTTGGAGCTGCAACGATGTTCTTTGACTGAAGTACACGGACAGGCCTTTGCCCGACTAACCGGCTTAGAATTCTTGAAGTTGGATACTAACCAACTAGAATATTTGGAGTCCTCGGTGATATCCGGATTATCTCGTTTGAAAACCTTAACGCTAGATGGCAACCGATGGAGATGCGACTGCAGACTACGAGATTTCCGCACCTGGCTTATTCCCGACGTACCCAGCAAATTATACTCCGTGCCACAAATCTGTTCAGGTCCACCGAGATTGGAAGGCCGCAGATGGGAGGATGTGAAATCTACGGAATTTGCTTGTGAACCAAAAGTATTTGTTCTGGCTAGCAGCATACAAGAGGAGACCAACGGTAATCTCAGCTTGGCGTGTCGAACGAGCGGCGATCCCGAGCCAGAAGTTTGGTGGCAACTAAACGGTGGACCAGTCAATGCTACCAAATCGAATGATCAACCCTATATGGGGACTCTCGTTATTTACGCAACGTCCGAGGCTGTCATCCCTTCCAACGACAAGTCTGCGTCCAGAACCATCGGGGACCGATGGAGCAACCTGACCGTTTACAACGCCAGCGACAGCGACGCCGGCGAGTATGCCTGTTTTGCAAAGAATATCGCTGGTCTCGCGCGAGACACAGTCAGCGTGGCAATACCTCGTGTTTATACGGCCCCGACTCTCTCTCAGAGCGACAACTGGCTGCTCTGGGTAAGTTTGGCTGGAGGCGGCGCGGCTGCCGCTTGTGCTTCCATCTCGGCCGTGTTGTTGATTCTTTGTTTGTGCGGTGGAAATCGACGACACAGTAAACGGGAGAAGGTGAAGCTGCAAGGCAGCAGCAGTTTCGGCGACCAGGAGAAGAAGCTGCTAGACCTGTCCGTGACCACCACCACGACGCCTGGCAATAGTAACGATCGTGGCAGCGGTCACAGCAGCATCGGTGAGGCGTGTAGCACCGGTGACCTCGAGTTAGCGGAGCGCAGTTCTATTTGCGATCCTATGGCTGCGGCCGCAGTCACCGTCGAGCGACTGCGACCCGCGGACAACTCGGTGAACAACATCCGCGCGGTTCCATGCACCGCCACGGCCACCGCCAGTGTATTTCCGCCCCCGCCGCCGGAATTTACCACCGGTGTGCTGCCGGCTGGGATCTTCGGCAACATCTTCATCTCCGTGTCATTGCCGCAAGACGCGTCGTCGGAGCGCTGCTATCCGGATCTCCTCGACATCCCCGTCCACGCGGTTAGCGGCGCTACGACCGCCGTTTCGACCAGCGGCAAGACCGCGGCTTTGTCATCAGCAGCGGCAATCAACGTTTCTAGCTTCGCCACGCTGCCGCGTCGGGCCTTGCGCTCCACCGAGGTCGCCGCCGGCTCGCCTTACGACAATATGGGGCCGCGTATTACGGCAAACGGCAGTTCCGCGTTCTCGTTAACGGACATAACAGACATGGACCTGCGGCTATCGCCGCCACCACCGCCGCGAATCATTCAACCGCCGCATGAGTTCGTTTCCCTCTAAAACACTAGATTCTTTTTCACACCGATCCGTATTGTCGCGCAATACTGATTTCATAATCGATAATAATCTGCTAATAGTGTTATCCTAATATACTGTGGAGCATCCATTAATGGCCGGGTATTATTGGATAACATCAATTAGCGTGCGGTAATATTAACCGTGTCAGAAATGGCTCACGAATCGACTCTTTTGAGAACGCACGCGCTCGCTTCGAACGACTGATCCGTATACGCTTCCTCGGTGGAGTTTTAAAGACGTGTCGAATTATCCTAACACATATTGGTGTTGCAAATTTGATAGTGACGTCAAATTAAGATCATATTGATTGTATTGAAGAATTTTTATCTCAATATTACGCGTTTGTTGGGTCATCGTGGACATTACAAATTTTGCAGCCTCAAAATATTGATCGCAATTCTGGACTGCCATTTATAAAATCAAAATTTCGAAATATCATTTGTTTATAAAGATAAGTTACATAATCTTTTAGCAATTAAAAATTTATCATTAAACGTCGAATATTGTGTCGCTTTTTATGTACCTAATCTCTCTTTGTTATATAAAAAATTATATAAAAATCAATGATCAATAATCAAATGCAGATAACTCGAATATTTAAAGACATACAAAATGTCTTTAATATTTTTTCATCATCTTCTGGACTTCCGCATTGCATTTAGAAAAATGTAATGAGTAGAGCATATCTCTAAGTAACTCTCGAGTATTTCATTATACATTGACAAGGAACATGTAAACAACTTCTAGGAAATGGTCAATACGTGTCGATGTACAATGGGTGTTTTTCATTCATATAATTTATGGAGACAATTAATTATTATAAATATAATAAATGGAAAGAATTATTATGCGTGAAAATTAATACACACAATATAATGTATAATTTTCGTAATAACAGTATGATTTAATAATATAAAATTTAATAATATGAACATAAAAGTAAGGTGGTTTATAATTTCAATTGCATTTTAAATATGTTTATATTTACGTCTACATACGAAAGATATATGATATTATTTTATAATTTAACAAGTTTTAGGACTTTTTTTTAACAAATAAATCAAGATTATTCGCTTTTTATAAATGTGATTATTGAGAAATTGATGGCATCCCTGTGGAAAAATACTATCGGATTAATGAAAAAACCATTGGAATGAATAGTGTACAATATTCGATTTAAGTGATTTTGCCATTATTTTCCATCGTTTTTTCATGAGTTCAATAGTATTTTTCTATAAGAGCGCTCTTCCATAATCGTAATAACGATAGCGATGACAATAGGTCTGTTCGTCATTGTTGTACGATCTGTACTAAAATTTTCACCAAACTTCAAACATATCTACTTCCATATATCTGTTTCATTTTATAAGTACACTAATTTAGCTATAAATAATAAACCTATATTATCATTTTTATATTTTTTTGCTTTTTCCTTGTTTTCATAATCGTTTACAATTGTTTACATCGCAACGGATAGAAAAAGATTTTTTTTTTATAATTTAGATTTCTTTCTCTTCTCTTCATCTTCACTATTAACATAATTAATTAGTCTCGATTTGTGTCATCAATTTGAATTATAAATAGAAAGTAAAAATAATTAAAAGTTCATAGTTAACTTTCATCACTGAACGGAAAACGCCCATTTTTTATGGCCACTTCGCAAATCACATGAGTAGGTAGTTATCGGCGGGTAGCCGGACACCTTTTGGGAAACAACGAGAATGTAGTCGTGATTAGACATCTCCCGCGGGTGCAATTTAAGTCGTGGTTCTTCCCTTCGGCATGCAGCGTGTTCGGCGAATGCGGAGAAAGCGCCAAGAGAGAAAATCGATATCTCTCACTGTGTCGCGGCCGGCGTGTCACCGAGATTAGTATACGGAGCATTCGATCGAAGGACTGATATCGGCCACGATTGTCCGACCTATCGAATATCTGTCTGTCTATGCTTGTCTGCCTGCCTTGCCCACTTGTCTGGCCAGCTGCCCGCGGCCGCTTGCGCCCATAATGAGTGTGTGTATGAATGATGGATGGATGCGTGAAGAACCTCTTAGACCTAAGTCTCTTCTAGTCTGCTAACAAATAACCCGAAATGAGGCGACTGTTTGTATATATACTTCACGACTACTTCTTCAAGACAAATGGACCTTTAATTAATTAATGCGAACGAATCGCGTCTCATTATCTTCCCTTCCATTCCCTTCATTCTCCAAAGTGTATCACTAGTTTGTTACATATTCTCTCTACGTGTGTACATATTTGTTATTATATCACACATTCGTGTACACGTGCAACTTGGACGTTACGAGTGTCGCACGCGCACGCTGGTGCGTTAATACACGGAGATATTCATTACGAACACTTTGTCAATTAATAAAATCATTGAATTTTACATACATCGAGTCAATGATTTGTATCGTCTTATTACGTTCGTTGTGCATTTCGTGAGAAAGTGATGTACCGCGTATCGTATTATGTTCAATCGAATTTGATTATAACATTCATCGGCATGTCAATCACATTTTTTCAGATGAAAATCAATGGAAGCATTGAAAATTGAAACAATATGGCATTGTTTTTCTGTACCCAATTTATACGCTAACAATAAAACGAAACTACGAGGATTGTTCTTTTCCTATAAGATTTTACCTGTAATATAATTGGCTACGGCTTTCTATTTTATGTACTAAAAGTGTTGTATCAAATTTCAAATGTTATTAGTATAATAATAGAATCTATTTGTAAATTGTTATATGTAATCAAATAATTACGAGGGACACTATTTTTAATTGAATTTTTGAAAATATGTACAGTCATAAAAAACAGATCACCAATTAGCTGAGCGTGTAAATCAAACTTTTATTTCTATTCTCCATTATTTGTATATAAAAACAAATATTGAATTGGATCGAGTATTTCGGAATAAAAACCTACTTAAAATAGCATGCCAAGTTACATCAAGATCGGTTGTTTCACCAGAGAATTGCTATTTCGTGACGATACTAGGCGAGAGGATTGCATGTAAGATTATAAACTGCAGTGTTTAAGTACAGATTATGTATTGTGTTGCATAACTTGCGTACAAAGTGCAAGGGTAAGGTGGATCGCCTATGCAAATAGGGAAAACGATCAAAAGCACCGCACATTACGTTTCTGACGTTTTTGACAGTAAGTTCCTTCTTTGTCTCAACTCAACATCCATCAAATCCGCGAGGCGCAAATTGTGATCAAAGATGGCAAGTTACAGGAAACTCGTTGCGTCGTGTTCATTCTCGCGACCTAGTCTCGGAGTGTATCCTCCTTGACCTTGACTATTTCGAGAACCTGGAAAGAGATCAATCACATTGCAGAGCGCGAAAAATCGCACGTGGACTGTCTTAAATTGCTCGCATTTAAGGATTAATGAAGCAGTGACGCTCTTTTCTGCATACGACGTGATTCTTCATGGAAAAGCGATTCGCGTAATGTCAAAGAATGAATATGACGTCGTGTATGACAGTCGATATCTGTTCAACATACGCGACGTGCTCCAAGTATTCCGAGAGAATATTTAATTTAGCGAAAATAATATGATCAATACCTTTTGTAACATTTAAAGATGTTGGCGTTTATTATTATAAACGTACTGTTAGTGTTCTTTTGAACAATGTCTCCTTGGCTTCATAGAGATTTTGAGATAAAATTGAAACATTTTCAATATTTCTTTTTTAATGAGATCAATTTAAGGAACAATTGATTACTTTCATAAATCTTAAATCGCAAAATATGCGAATAAATCAACAGATTAATACTAGAAGTATCCTAAAAATTTTTGACTTTTCAATAATTATGTTCTTTATACTGATAAAACATTTTCATCGCTTTTTCTATTTTCATAATAATTTATCCTTGATCCTTTTAGTGAGTAAGAAACGTTCGTACTTCTAGTATTAATTAATAGCATCGTAATAAAAAGTAAAAATAGGATCTTTTACATACCTCGTAAAATAGAGTAATACGATCGAGGATCGTCGATTTTTTGTGCGAAACGAAGATCCTTGTATCCGTGTACGTGATCGGACATTAACCAGGCACCATCTTTCTGAATTTTGTCAGCATGTTTAAATGCTATCGGTCTGTCTGCGTAATCTACACAAAAAAGTACAGTTAACAAATTATTTCCTGTAGATAACAAAAATGTATAATATATACATTGCATGCATTTTGTTTAAAAGCGACAAATGAATCTTGAGGCGGGATTGTCCGACGTCGTCTAAATCAATTCATTAAAAACTGCAAGCGCATGCCACATAATGCAGCATTGTTTCGTACAAATGCTGATATTCGCGCTTTTTTCATAAATTTTTTCATAAATTTTATTCAATCCGATAAAAGCCGCTTTAATTAATTAACGGCATCGCGGATATTGATCTGACGTGAAATGCGTTAAACGTTTATTGCAAAGTAACATCCGTATAGCCAACGTTTACATACTGAAATATTTTGCAGTAATTGCCTCATCAAACTTCCAATTTACTTCAAAAAGTTTGCTGTCAATAATGTTATTAAAAATATTCTAATAAGTCATGATAATTTCTTATTTATAAGAATTATTTCTTTCTGATAATCTTCATATGTGAAATTATTCTTAAAAGTTTAATATACTCTTTGATATTATTTTTCTAAATTCTCCACACCTTCGTAATCAAGATTTAAGAGAACTTCAGATTCCATGTCGCGTGGAATGTAGAACTCCATATCGGCGTCAGCTGGTAAATCCTGAAATCGATTCAAATTGCTCGATTCATCGGATCGTCCGATTCGGGGCTTATGTATTATTCCAAAAGCACGCTCCATTCTAGGAAAACTCGCTATTTCCGAATTTCGGCCGATTCTTGGATACGCCACCAATCCAGCGGAACGTCTATCGTTGATTTTCAATTTTTGACCCTCTAGAACGTGAAGCAATACAAAATAATTAGAATATCAAATGCTCGAAATTATTTTGTTGTATTTTTTTTGGAACAATATCTTCTGCTTTCTTCTAACAATTAGTTATCCGAGACTAATGCATCTAATAATTTTCCAATTACACAAATAATACAATAAGATTAATAAAAAAAAAACAGAAAGAAGACATTACAAATTATTATTTCGAATAAATTCTTTCATAATCAATATGTGTGCTAAAGCGAATTATTTTGTGCATGTACTATTATATATATATACGTGCTTCGTAAACATAAAAAAAATTTATAAAATATAAGACTATAAATATTATAGTATGTGTGTGTGTATATTCAAAATCTAAAAATTATTTGAAGTGTGTACAGGACAATATTAAGAAAAATAAAAATCTACATATTTCTTATTAAAAATTTAAATAAAAATTGGTATTAATTTTTTTCAATAAAGATATAAA